AGTGTGTAGGCTAACGACAATAATTGCATTCGAAAAATAGCGACATGACAGAGAAGAAGCGAGTCGAGAGTCGAATTTCGCTTTTATAAGACAGCTATGGGGCTGTTGATTCGGTTCTTAGGGCAAAAGTGGGTCGTATGTGATGTGGAGGGGCTCTCAAGTCTAACTATTTGCGCCAATTTAAGAAAATATGTTCAAAGTAATGCTGATGAATAGTTCGCATTCTATTTATGACGTTAGGATAAATGAAGTTTGAGTACAATGTTAGAAACATTAAAATTATAATTGAAGTTTACCCTAGTATCAAACATTTTGCATTTGCTATTTTAGGTTAGACTTAAATTTATAAAACAGCTGAGAAACTAAGAAGACTAACAAACAAACTACAGAATATCGAATAATGATTTCCGGTTCGTATCCAGTAATTTTAGGTAATCCTTTGCTTTTTAGGAGAGCTTGAAGCTCGAGCTCCAGCCAAAGCCTGTTACCTGACCATCGACACAACGTTCCCACAATTTCCCGGCGCTGAGATGTGGAATCCTCCAAATGTATGCATTATTTTCTAACAACCTAAGAAGAAGTGATTTATGACTCGAGAACAAATTTCTCGGGATGTTGGGAGTAAAAAATCGTCATTTAATATCTTGTGATGGCCATGCAAACTTCCGATATTCCAAGTAAAAGTAACAATTGAGGATATTTAATCCCAAAAAAAGCTTACAACCTTTCAAGAGGAGGTGTTAGACTTAATCTATTTAAAATGTATAAACTTCAATTATGCGTGTTCCCCTATTACGATCCAACACGGGTTTTTGTTTTTGTTTAAATCGCTCGTCTTACTATATTGGTACTACTTTATTCAAAGAGTTGCTGTGCCTTTTTTGGCAGATGGCCTTTTTAAATCAGATGCATCCTCTGCATAAGGTCAGGGGCTGTAGACATGTAAGCTAGGAAAATTGGATTACTAGAATTTTTTTATTTTTTATTTTCACGAAATCTGATGTTGCAGGGTATTAGTGAAGATTGCCTCAGTATGAATATCTGGGTGCCAGCTAATCATGATGGTTCCGTTCTAGTGTGGATTTACGGCGGAGGTGAGTAGAACAAT